AATTTGGAAACCATAAATGAAGGATATCACCACCAACCTATTGCAAAAAAATTGATGAGTCTTTTTTCTCCCTTTTCTTGTAATACGTGCACCTCTCTACAAGATCAAAAATCTTCAGTTATACCTAGTAGTTTTTACTATTTTATTCTTTCGGATCTGTGCTGTAAAAAAATCGTATTCAGCTGTTTGTCATGAAAATATGAAATCCCTGTGGTGCCAAAATTTATTAGCCACCCTTACCGAAAGCCCAGTACTGTCAGCGTGTAAATATTGACTATGGTTGACAAAAATTGATCAAAACTCACCATAATACTCTGATTATTAGTCCCAGTGCTGCTGGAAAGAACAGATCATCACTTCCAATGCGCCAACGGCGATTAAACGCAACCAAAGCGGGCATAATAAAGTCCACAAACGAAAACTAGACTGCAGTGTTTTGTTTCAGCAATTCCCTGGCTTCCACTCACATGTTTTTCATTACTAAGTTTGGGTTAATAAAAGGCCACAACTAAATTTCTGTACCAAAAATTACTTCCAAGACAAACGGTTAGACATTACCTCCCATCTAACGGATCACTAAAGAATGACACCCGTCATTTCATCGTTTCATCGCCATCTTGAAAATTGCGCGTAAACTGGGAACGGACGGAAGTTTGTACATGCGCATCGAGGACAATCGATGGTTGTTCGGCGTCGGAAAGAGAATTTGATTTTTTTGTTTCAAAGTTTTTTAGCTTCAAATTTTGGATAGATTTTACCTTGATTTCGTTCATAGATACAGGAGTTTTAACTCCTGATATTGCTGCTTGAATAACGTCAAAATTGGACTCAATTTCTGCTGTGTTTCGTCCTTTATTCGCTGTTTAGCGAACATGGCGTCAAATTCTCCAGGTAAGAAAAAAATATTTTAGCTTGGCTCTTTCTGTGAAAATAAAATTAAGGGTTTCCAGACTTTCCTCAGATCCTGTTCATATAAGAGAATTCGACGCATTCACTTGGCCCTTTGATGTTAATCCGTAAAAAGTTATCGCGATTAATTATTGTCATGTACTTAAGCTTAAGATCTTGTTTTTGAAAAGATGGCTCTGGTGATAACTGAAACATTGTTGCATTGTTTAGGTAACTTTCAGAATCATGTAATCGATTATGAAATGGTAACTTTTCGCTATTGTCTTTTATTCTAGGAGGTAGACTTTCGAGAGAGAAGCTCAAGCTAGATTTTCAGGGAGGACTAGAACGCAAAAAATTGAACCTTGCAGCTTTGAAAACCAGGCAACCAACACCACTTCAATCAAATATGTAGGTTGATAGAAAGGCCATAGATAAAGTGGGTCAAAGTGATAACTTGATTTTTACACTTAATGTTACCTATTGTTCTGTACAGTTCTACATTTAAGGTTGTTAGAGTGTGCGATTACGCCATTTTCACACCATCCGGTACATTTCCCTAAGAATACTATGATTATACATCGTATGTATTTCCTTATTGAAACAATGGCAAATGAGGCCATGTTAACGTAAATTCTGGCAACTGTTATGGCCTTGAAACAGTGACCTAAGACAGGTGAAATGGTAACAAACAACACCAAGGTGGATCAATGCTGGGACAGCATCAAAGACAGGCACAAATACAAAACAAATACATGTGTTGGCAATGGCTTACTGATTTAATTTGCAATTAACAAATTCCTCATTTTCTGAGTGAGGGCCTAAGTAGATGGCAAATAGCCTGACTACATTTGATCATTAGCCTTTCAAACTAATCACGCAGCCAGGTCAACCACATGTTGGTAGACCAGATAGACCACCAAACTGGGGATTACGTTCCCAACTCTTCACAAATGGTGGGTTGGTTGTTTAACATCGCACAGATTTTAAAAATGTCTTTTGAAGCAAGGTACATTTTGCAAAGTGGCTAACAATGAATAGAGAAGAAGTTGGTGATAATCTTTTCCTTTTGCTATTTTTTAGGGAAAGATTAAGAACCCATAAAGCAGTAGGAAAACTGTCTTTTGGTCCTGACAAGGTAAAAGGTTATAATAATTATTGTATTTTGTTTTCATAGTTTTTGTACATGTACTAATGACTTACGCAAAGCTATATGTGCATGTATGTAGCATTGATACTGGATAAAATGTCCTTCAAAAATTAATGGTAGTTGTTTTACATGAGTTTTAATGCTGTATTACAATCGTGGTTATTATGATAATTATTTTATCTTTCAAGTTCAAGCTAAGTTTAGTTTCTTTTCTTTTGTTTTTGTGCATACTTGCAGTGTCTGTGTTGTGGCTTACAGTAATTATTTCCTTGTTTTATATTGTAATAATTTTCTTTGATTTTGGCTATATCTCTTAAATATTAACGATAATGAGGTTTAAACAAAGGGAGATAAAATTTAGACCAAGGACAAAATTGAACCATAACCTTCATGTATGCACGATAAGCACAAAGGAAAGGAAAATAAAATTTGAACCAAGAGGAAGTTAATAAGAATCACAATAGTTGTATGATCAAGGAACAAACTCATTACCTTTATACTCATGATTTGTGATTCTTGACTTTCAACTAAACCCTTGTGAATGAACTGGGACAAAATTTTGCAGTGTGAATGAGATTGGATAAAAAGACTGAGATGGCCTAGGGTTACTTAGAGCCAGTGTATAGTATAGTAGAATGCAAACTGTAACTATATTATGACTGTAGTACAGACTGACATCATTGTTCTCCACTTACATGTAGTGTGAAATACTTAAGCAAATGTGTGGATGTACGTTAGCCTGAGTTGATTTAATGGGATTGCTACTCCAAATTTATTTTTCGTTATAATAGAATTATGAGTATTCTTCTGAGGACCTGGCAGACTATGGGGAGATTGGAAGAGGAGCTTATGGCACAGTGAATAAGATGTTACACAAAGAAAGTGATACTTACATGGCAGTGAAGGTAATAATAATAATAATAATAATAATAATAGTTAATAGAGTATGATCGTCCAGGTGAACGTAGTCCTGAATAGGGCTGTTGTTGACAGTGACTGACATTTCGACAACCTATGTGGTATTCATCTTTAGAGTCAAAGTGAGGTGTATCACATCAGTTGATGGTGTTAAACTATGGTTATTGATCTGTTAGGTCAATTAAGTTGCAATGTTATTGGTCATCTGTCAGTTAAGCCGTACTCGATCTATGTACATTGTATTGTCACAGTTAAACAGTCATTTATTGTTAGTAAAATTGTCGGTTGTCCAGTCATTCTGTCATAGTTACTTTTGGTTCAAGTCATTTGTATGGTGACGGTAACAGTTGACAGTAACAAAGAAAGCTTGTTTGTTGGATTTGGCCAAGATCTGAAGAAGGATCCTGGAGAGCTAAGGATATAGGATATAGCTTAATGATTTGAGGAGACAAGACCACCAATACATACTATTGGTGTGAGACATGAACACAATAAATTATGATACACACAGTATCTCTTACTTGGATCAGCCTGGTAACTGGTGGTTTGGTCATCACTACACGTATGTTGTTGCACAAAGTGCAGTAATCTTGAAGCAACTTGAGTGAGAGTTTAAACAGATGCCAAGCTCTTCACATGGCTATTACATCTCTCTACCAAGAATGTTTATTTCCCTTTAGTGTGTAAGGATCTTAAAATATAAAACAGATCAACTGGGGCAAAAGGACAAAGCACATACAACGTATGTTAGTGACTGGACAGTACCTTTACCACTCTTTTAAAGAAATGGTCAATACACTTCTCCATGTTAATACTCTAGCATGGTTGATGTTATATTATTTCTTGTTGATTTCAGAGAATTCGTTCAACAGTTGATGAGAAGGAACAGAAACAGTTGTTGATGGATCTGGACGTTGTCATGCGCAGCAGTGACTGCAAGTATATTGTCAAGTTTTATGGAGCCTTATTCACTGAGGTGATGACACCGAAAAGTATTGTCTTAATTTGTTTTTAAACCAGGCTTTTATTGTCTCTAAAGGGGAATGGTTGCAGCACAGAAGTTAGCCACTCACTGAAGCCAAGGGGAAACTGATATTCTAAGTTGATCTTGCTTTTCCACCTTTTTGTAGGGTGATGCCTGGATTTGTATGGAACTAATGGACACATCTTTGGACCAGTGCTACCGTCATCTCTATGGTGTCATTCAACAATCTATACCTGAGGATATTTTAGGAATGACTTCTTTAGCAGTAAGTTACACCTCTCACTATTGTAACCTTGCAGCATTGACAGGAACACACTACTGTATTGAGATGTGTGTGAGATTTATATTCCCACACACAAAAATCCTAGGCGAAGAAAGTGTCCAGCTATTTAGAATGAGAGATGCCATACATTATTAATACTTTTCTGACAGCCAGATTTTCTACTAAAAATGAAGTTATTGCATCAAAGAACATGCATGACTAGGAGAGAGAATGGGAGAAAAAATTGAGGTGGTTATTTTCTTTCTCTAACTGTGACGATCATAATCTACCATTGTCTCTCAACAAAGTTTTTGTCATCTGTTTTATGTGTTTATTCAATTTGTTCAAAAATCTTGAAGGGGAGATAATTATACAGTTTAAGCTTTTCTTTTTACTCCTCTGACATGACATGAATAAATACAACACTATGGCAATAGTAGTGCAATCTTTACTGTGAAAGAGTTCCCCTACATGTATTATAAACAAGTTACATTCAGTAAAGCACTGGTAATTTTTTTTTAATTCTCAGGTTGTTAAAGCTCTGGACTACCTTAAAACCAAATTGAATATTATTCATAGAGGTAAGCTTAAGACCTTGGATTTCCACTGTAGTTGTCAGGACATCCTGGTAAATACTGTGTACTAGCTATATTAAAGAAAGATTATGTATGTAGCTTACTTGTGTTCTCTCATTGTGTTTAATAATCTGTTCATGTTCAGCGGCATAATTAAAAATGAAAATTTCATTCCAATGAGGCCTTAAACTGCTGATAAAAAATAAAATTGAGATCCAAGCTTTCACTGATCAACAGCATCATCTTGTGTTTGTTCCTTTAGATGTAAAGCCTTCAAACATTCTCTTAGACCTTCAAGGACACATCAAGTTGTGTGACTTTGGCATCAGTGGCCAACTGGTTGACTCCATTGCAAAAACTAGAGATGCTGGATGTAAACCCTACATGGCGGTATGTGGACGAAATTTAAACCCAGTATGTTGCTCCCAAATGCCAGTCAAGACTTTGACATTTCACTTTCTCTCCTCCCCTCCTCTTTTGCTTTTCTTGCACTCTTTATTTCTTTTGCTAGGAATTTACTAGGCTTCATTTGAGTGAAGAAAGTTTTGGGGAAAGCTTTGTGTATTGTAGGATTAGATGGAAGGATGTGTACATGTACTAATTACATAATAATAAATTAGTGATATTAAAGTGGAGGAGTCAGAAAGAATGAAGGTAGTGTGCTGAACTGAAATGTATTGGATTTTTAATATTCTTTATGTAGCCGGAGAGAATAGATCCCATGTCATCAAGACAAGGAAGTTATGATATCAGGTCAGATGTATGGAGTTTTGGTATAACACTGGTAAGTCAAAAGAAAAATCAATACAAGTTACATCTAAAACTTATTTTCCGTAGATTGCTCAGATCTTTAGTAATATCAGTTTTCAAGCTAAGATATAGGAAACCACACATTATTAACAGGAACTGCTTTTGTTGACTTTTTTGCCCATATCAATTCAGTGCACATGGATTCTGTTTCTCATCTAACTAACAGTGATTTGATTATTTTGCAGATTGAAGTTGCCACAGGAAAATTTCCCTATCCCAAGTGGAAGAGTGTTTTTGACCAGCTCACCCAAGTTGTGAAAGGAGACCCACCTCGCCTGACAAATGAGGATGGAAGAAATTTCTCAGATGAAATGCTTTCATTTACCAACATGTGGTAATTGTTTTTAGTAAAAATTAATTCCCTGCACAACAATTAAAGCTCCTTCTTTCCTTATGTCTTTAGTGAGATAAACTTTAGTTACATCATCATAGTATTTGTCTTAATTCACAAGTCTTAAAAGCATGGTCTTTAGCTTAATAGCATAATTGAAGCATAGTCTAGATTTTCCATTCAGATGAGTTGTCAGCAGGGTTGACTCGACTGGGCTTTTGTTCAATTACTGCTTTTAAGAGGGTGGGGGGGGGGGAGCTTTCAAATAGTATTCGACTACTTCACTGTAAACAACAATACCAGCTATCTTATAGTATCAAGGCATATTCCCGACCGTTGCATGAAAAGCTCCCCATTTTTGCTTCCTTAATTTCTCCTTCAAATTCACGAACCATTGTTTCATCACAGTATCTTGTAAACATTACAACGTTTGCCAAAAATACTCCACTTCACATCATATTTTGTAGCTCTCTCAATGTCTGATATTCAAGGAAACACTCTATCTTGTGTTTGATTTATCACTTCCTATTGTGTGGTTATCATTATCAAACACTCCTTTTTGTGTTTAAGTCTAGCAAAAAAATTCTCCTTTTGTCATTCCCTAAGGGGCTGTTTACATGGAGGGAGGACGATCCTAGAAGGCGGAACACTTTTTCGTTGAGTTTATGTGCAGACATTTTTGTCAGTGTGGTTGCCAAGTAGAGAAGGAATTAAAGATGGCGGGTGTCAATAACAAAAATAGGAGATCCTAGTGCTAGGGACAAGTGCGACCCTTTGCATTTAAACTGAAATAAATACAGAAAATTTATGGTACTAGGATGATGCCCTGAAATGTCATCCGTCTCTTTGCCCCACCCTCCAAGAGACTCTCTCTTGCCTTGCCACCTGATGGGGGGAGGGGGGGAGGTTGGGTAGGGCAAAGGACTACTGCCCTCCAGGATCTTGCTGGTGCTAGGATCTCGCCCCTTCCACATGAACAACCCCTTACTCTGATTACCTTGCATTAATTTCAGAATTGTTTTCATTTTTCTTTTTTAACTAGTTTGACAAAAGATGTTACAAGAAGACCCAAGTACCGTGAGTTACTCAAGCATCCTTTTATCCTGAGGTATGAGGAAAAACAAGTTGATGTTGGATCCTGGCTCAGCGGAGTTCTGGCGCAGGCGCCATTGCCAAAGTTTGATAAATTAGAGATATGATGTCTTTATACCGAACTATTTTTGCACAGATTTAATGATGTAAATACGTAAATGCCTCATTTGAGCACATTGTAAAAGTCACTTAGCAGCTAAAAGTGGTGGTAAATAATTTTGATATATTTTTTTGGCTTCAGGAGGCAGGTACATTGTGTATTGATTAGTTTTCACCATGTGTTGCCAGATCATTATAGATTTCTGGCAAACTGACCACCTTCTCCTCCCATGAGCCAACATTTTGCCCTAAGCAAGAGGTAAGTGTTAATGTTGGCTTTGGAGAGGGGTAGGTGGGCAGTTTCTAAGAAACCTTAATTGATTTGCAACGGTTACAATTGCACACAGGAGGCCGCCTTGGCTTTACGGGTGATTATAATACCATACTGACACAATGTGATGTATGGAATTTACTTCGCACTACTTACCTGTATATTTGCAGTGTTGGAAGTGTATTGTTGCTAAAACTGCTCCATAAGTCGCTTGCTGAAATGTTCATTTGGTTTTTCTTTAATGTCACGATTTTTAAACTAGCTAGCGAAGTTGTTCTGCTTACACTATTTGAAATGTATCTCAGTGTCAACCTGAAAAAATAGTGGAAGTAAAAGAATATAGCCCACTAGCAAGCTCTCCGGGGCTAGAAAGAACCTTGTTTGCTAATGAACAGAAACTCCGAAACTTAGGAATTTCTGTGATGTAAGTATGCCAGTGGTTCTGTAGACCATAAGTTGTTTTTTATATATTTTGCCGCTTGTCAATTTATTGTAGAATTAAAAAAATATTCCTTTTAATTAGTACTTCATCTAGAATTTTCCCTTTTACAGTTTGTTTAGTGATTTAGCTTTTATTATTCTCAAGGAATCTGTAGTCAGTCTTGCCCTTTAAGTTTTATACAGATAAAATAATGTGACATGTCCTAAAGAGTATATTTTTGATCTTTCGTGAAGAATATTCTGTACCGAGTGTGGGAAATTACTGCATTTGTATGTACAGTGTAATCCTATTTGTACTCTGTAATATTAGAAATCGTAGTGTTTAACTAAAGAAGTTCGAATATAGCCATTAAGTAGCAAACAGGCGTAAAATTACTATTGATAGTAATCTATTTGGACAAACTGAGGACGGTAAATTTTCTCCGCCGAATATTGCGCAAAAAATGTGGCAATCACCCTACGAAGACATGTTTTAATTAATTAAAATTGTTATTTATTTCTAAGGGATATGTAGAAAAGCTTGAATGTGAGAGCAGAGTTAGTCAAGTTAGTAACGCTTTTAGTTAAGCAAGAGACCGAGAGCGGAGATGATTCTCAAGAGTTTTGTGTAAACTGTGTTAGCTATGGTGATGATAATAATAAAAGAAATTTGAAATCTTTGATTACCATCTTGTTTCATTAAAGTGTTTCCCCCACTCCTCTCGGGTTAGGTTTCGTTACGCGTTCCTGCCCTAAGGGGCGAGGACTGCGTGAAGTCAAAGAACGTCTGCGTGGGAGGCTACCACTCCTCCCCCCTTCTTTGACTCAGTAACATTGAAAAGTGACTGCATTTTGATAAGAAAAAAATGTTTGAGAACGCTGTCTGTGAAGCCAAACCCTCAACGTGAAAAGAGGCTGGCTGGAGTCAATTCGGCCTGCAACAACGAGTAAGATTCAACGACGACAGGGAGACTTAGACAATGTCCGAAAATTCAGATTTTACCCCTTATCCTCCAGCAAATTTTGACAACGCGCCTTTATAAACGGTAGTGAACGTTTATAACGAATAAACAACCGTTGGGTTAGCTCGGGAGTTCACGAAGCACCTGGCCTATTGCAGTGCGCGCGTTTGTCGGTGGTAACATTTGTAAAACTTCTGTTTATAGAGACTTGTATAGAACGATATAAATGACAAACATGCTATCGTACATGCATAGAGTTTGTACTGGAAAAGTCCGTTTTCGCGACTCTTCTGATCTTCTATTTCATTTCTTGCGAAGTGGACCGCCGTACACAGCCTAGTTCTATTCACCTTAACTCTCAGCCATATCATTGCGACACGCGTTGGTTTAGACTTATCTTGTATGACCTGTATTTTTAAAAAATTAATTGACCTCTGCGACCAAACGACTGGTAACAAAGAAAGACTTGGGTCCATTTAAAATTGACAGAGGTGTAGTTGATTCCAATCGATCGGTCAGTCTTCCCTTTAATATAAGGAAAATCCTTTGTACTTATCCTCGGAAGAGTAAAGATATAAGAGGTCTTCAAATGTTTCAGATCGGCGACTTTGCATCGTTCCTGGCTGGAGGGCTGACTTGCATACCGCGCGGAGATTTGTTTGTTTCATGGTCGGGTGGTAGACTAAGACCAGACTCCATAAAATTCGGAGATTCAGTGGAAAAAGAATCTCCGAATTTTCTATGGTTTAAGATTGCCAAAGAATATACAAAAACCGAAAAAGATATCTATGTATGTGACACATATATCCCACCTCAAAATTCCATTTACTTTTATCCTGAACTATTTGAAGAACTTGAAAACGATATTGAGAATTTCTCGGCTTTTGGATCAATTTTTCTCATGGGTGATTTCAACTCTAGAACAGGCAAATACTCAGACAATGTCTGTCACGAGGGCAACACCATTATAACAAAAGATCAATCTGAATTCTCCTTATGCGCCGTTCAGCGACACAGCTTTGATAACGAATTAAATAACCACGGTAAACGGCTTTTAGAAATATGTAGGAGTGCAGATCTAACGATTATGAATGGTAGATCCCGTGGCGATTCGCTGGGAAGGCCAACATTTCATGGTAAATTAGGAGTTAGTGTTGTTGACTATGCAATATGCGACCAAGACTTATTCCACTCTATCGCGAATTTTGTTGTCAAAGAGCCGTCGAGTTTATCAGAT